TAGAAGGCTTCTTAATAACAGTATTTGCTAACTACTGTATAGCATAATCATGATCACTTTTTTCTATATTATCAGAATTGATATGAAGCTTGTTAAGTATAGCAAAAATATGTTTGTATAGCAATTGTTGTGTTTTGAAATTACAACAATTGTAAATATATATAGATATGTCTAGATTATCATCACTATTGTCTACTAAATTTTTTTTCTGAACAGAATATTCTATATCAGTATTTATCATAGTATATACAATCCAGATGCTAGAGCTAATACTACTGTACTATAAACATTATTTAGATTAATATTTGTAGTGCCTATAATTTCTCTAATCCGTTGTTGACGTCTTTGTAGATTTATTTGATCTATTTTTAATTCATCTAAAAAGGCTAAAAATTCCAAGTCTTGAAGTACAACTTCTATAAGAAGATATACTTTACTATCAAGTCACCAACCTAGTCATCCCTCATGTAAGTATATTTTAATTTACAGTGAAATGCTTTAATTAAATTATTTGTATCTATTCTGTCTCTAGATCCATTTATCATATTTTGAAAAATTATATATATTTATTTAAAGATTTTAAAATTTATTGTATCTGCAATATATTGCACCTCTTCTGCTATATCAAAATTTTTACTATAAAACCATCTTTGAAGTTTTAATAAAAAAAATTCTTCATAAATTTGGGTCCTATAGCTTAGTGATTAAGCTTCTAAATCCTCACAGACAAGATTAATAGTTCAAATCTACCTTAAGGCATAAAATTGATGATTTTTAATTTTCTGTAAACTAATTGGCAGAAATATTATTTTGAATATGAAGCTCTGTGAAAAGTTCAAGTACAGTACAAAACCAGAATAAGGAGTTTCTAGAAGAAGCCCTAATCATAGAGCATTGCTATTATGTATATTCTCTACAAAAGGTCTAGATTATAGAAGATCGTATATATAAATTCTCTAATTAGATTAACCTAGAGGCAATACCAATATCTTTTTGCTTTCGCTTTAGTTAGTACCAATATCTCTGCACTCAACTTGTGAGTACTTGTTTGGAAAAATGATTAATAGATTGTATATATCAGTTCTAATTTGAATTGGCATTGAGTACTTGCTTGAGAAAGTGATATAATACTATCAAAACTAGAGTAATGAGAGAAGCGATAGATATGTAAAAGGGCTATAATAAAGGATTATACTTTAACTGGAATTAAATATATTTTTGGCATTGGTAGAATGACTATAGAAGACTACTTGGCATAGAAAATATAACTCATTTCTATATGTCTAAAGATATCAATTTAGAGCTTTGGTTAGGAGTAATTAAAAAGGTTGTATATTGTATCAGATAACTTAAGAAATATTAAGATCTGAAAAAAGCAAACCGGTAGCAGCAGTATGGGTCTGGCTTGAGATATAAGATAAGTATATTTAAAAAAGTAAATAGAAGAGTCTGTGGTATTTATATAATATACAGTTATATAAAGAGATACAAGCCAATAATAGGCAGCACAAACACAAAATAAGTCCAAAGATCCAATATGTAATACCAATACTTCTTATATGAGACTAGTAGTAATAGCAAGTATCTGGCTTAAGAAACATATATAAGAGGCCACCTAATAGAAAGTATATACTAGTATAAAAGTATCTAATAATGGGCACACCAAATTAGAAGGCTATAAAGGACTGATTTCTTAAATACTGAATAAACCAATTTGGAAATAATCAAGATTTGATGATGAGATATGGGATGAATATGGTAGATAACTAGAAATAGTCTGAATATATATCAAATCTAGATATAACCTAATATATGATAGGAATATAGCATACTCTGGTAGATTTAGACCATAGATAAGATTGTCTAAGTCTGTATTCTTAAGATAGATATGTAACTATATAAGACAAATATCTAATAAAAATACAAGACAAGGCCTTATTTTAATACTGAAAAAATTTTTTTTTATAAAATTTTGATATAACCTATACCTTATTTCAAATTCTAACTCTAATCCTAATATTAATTAAAATATATTTTTTGTTTTGATAAAATTTCTTCATTACACAAAATCGATAATCTTTATATAGTTATAATAGAAGTACAATATATTATACTATGCAATAAATTATAAATTTCTTTATTTAATTTTTTTAAATCTTAGGCAAATCATGAATCATCTAAACAAATATTTTTTTTTATATATAAATTTTACTATAAGCCTGAATATGCAGTGCTTTTATTTAAAACTTTTTTTTTATTAAATAAATCACTCTTAGACTTGTAACAAAAGTTTTAAAGCTCATCAAGATGTATCTAATAATAGTAAGAATGTTAAAATTGGCCTTGTAGTTCTTACTACTATTAGATATATCTTGATAAGCTTTACAACTTTTGTTATAAGCCCAAGAGTGATTTACTTAGTAAAAAAAAAAGTTTTAGATAGAAGTGCTATACATTAAAGCTTATAGTAAAATTTATATATAAAAAAAATATTTGATTAGATGACTTGCTTCTAGCACATTTAAGCTCTATCGCTAATTAAAATTTTCTAAATTAATTTTATATCTAATATTTATTTAAATTAACTAATTTTATACTTTGCTATTTGCTAATGAAAAAAAATAAAAGTATTATTAAAAAAATTTGTTTATTGTAACTTTTTTGAAACTAATTTTTTAGACAATTTTATTAGATGAGTATTTCAGTATGCTGCAAATATAGTAATATCTACATATAGCATAAACTTTATAATTAACCAAATTCCACATTTAATCAATAATACAAATAGTAAATTACTAAAAGAAGCAGATTTTTAAGAAGTACTGGGTGTGCCAAATATACTAGCTAATTTTTAATATTTTTTTATTAATTATCAAAAAATTTTTAAATTGGTTGGCAATCGATTGACAGATAGAAATACCAATCAATAAACAGCACTCTGCTGATTGTTATCAATACATTAGAATTGATTGATACTGATTAAAATCAATTAATATTGATTAGTATTAATTGATTAAAAATCGATTAGCATCAAAACAAATTAAAATCTAATTGATTGTGTATTGATTAGAAACAAATATCGATTATTATTAATTTTTCTGATCGATAGTAATCATCCCTATAGCTAGTAATTAATATTTACTCTATTTAAAAATTTCCTAATGATATTGCTTGAATCTTGTAGCCACAAGTTTCCAAGAGTTCTAATTAAAACAATTTTAAAACTATTCAATTTGTTTTAATAAAGTGAATTAAATAGTATTAAAATTCGTTTCTAGTTATTATATTATGAGATACTTTAAAAAAACTTCTATGCACCACATTACTTTTCATACCAGAATATTTAACTCTCCTTTATATAGATTTTAAAAAATAGAAAAAGTTAATATTAAAATCAAATAATACTAAAATTTTGACTTATTAAAAAATTTAAAATTTTTTAAAAATATCAGAAAATTTTTAAATAAAATGCATATCAATTACTATCTGCAGAGATAATTGGCATTGATTTATATCGATTATAATTGATTGTAATCAATTAGCATCGATTTATATCGATTGCAATCATTTAGATTTGAATAATTACAATCAATTATAATCAATATAAATCGATACCAATCATTTCTGCAAATGGCAATTGATATATATCTTATTTAAAAATTTTCTGATTATTAAACTATACTATATAGTTTGTTTAATTGTAATACCTTATAAAACTTTGGCTGACATTAAACATAATTCCAGGCAAAGCTAGCTCTAAATTCTATAAGCATGACAATTAAACAAAACAGTATAATCACATCTATACTATACTGATCTGATTAGAGATAAAACAAATATCTGTATAGTATAGATAACCACTTTAGCCTATTAAGTAAACTTGTTTATTATAAAATTTTATATTTCAATTATCAAAATTTATAAATTTTTTTCACTTAGTAAAAAATTAGAAAAAACAGATCAGAATAATAAAGATGACCAGATCAGTATGATATAGATGTGATTTTATATACTGGTTTGATTATTTGTCACGCCCCTTAGAATTTAGGGTTAGTGCTGCCCAAAATTATACTTAACGCCGGCTGGGTTTTATGGGATATAACAATTAAGCAAAGCAGTTGTGTTACATAAATTACAATTTTACATTTTCATGTAATGTGTAATTTTGCGAGTTTCAAACCTTTTTACTAATAAAATGATAACCGTTTTACGAAAACCTACACAAAATTTAACAACCCTAAGTATAGTACGGTTTGGGTTAGCGCTGCCCAAAATTATGCTTAACGCCAGCCGGGTTTTATGGAGTGTGACAATTAAGCAAAACAGTATAGTACGGTTTGATAAAATCACATCTATACCAATACTGATCTTCTGTAATCAGTCATACCATACTGATCTTCGTGTATTGGTTCCTATAATTTTATCAAATTGGTCTGGCCTTAAGCACATTTCAAACTTGTAAGTTTTGATGACTATAAGTTAACTAAAATACTAATCAAAAATGTGACATTTATATCACTTGACTAAGCAAAATTTCACTTTAATTAGACACCGGGCAATTTCATGACATACGTTAAGCAAATATTTCGAAAAACTTCTCTTTGGAGCCAAAATTAATAATAATCTGTAACGGTTTCTATCGATTTTTACTTAGCGAAGCCAATTATCGATTTGATGATCATAAGATAGTTTTTACGAGAATTTCACATAAAATTAATAATTTCAAACATAATTTATTCATAAAATGAAAAGAAAATAAAGACCCAGTACTCAAAACAAAATTTTAAAAAAAAAATTAAAACTAAATCAATAAACCCTAAATTATAATAAATGGGGTAGACCCAAATGTTCTATATAAACCATTTAAATTTCAATTGACAAGTAAAAGAAATGCAAGTTCTATTTAGACCAGACAAAAATACTAAATATTTTTGGTTGATAAATTTGATATCTGTTCGCCAAATCATTTTTTCGATTTACTTTTATAACTATATCAAGTTCTATGCATAAGGGTTAACAGCCAAAACTTTAATAACGGGTGGACTCTTTTTACAATCCGCAGTGATAACAACTTGAAGACGGCAAAGTTCTTTAATAATTTGAGAGTTGGGAACGGTGGGATCAGAAACTATGGGCAACTGTGGTAATTCTGTAATTTTTACAATAGGTAGAGAACTTTTTGTAGAAGCTGCTTGATTGAGTGACGGAGCTTCTGCTGAGGGAATGTCCATTTTAGGGGATTCACTAGAAGACATTAAAGGCACAGCCACAATTTCTGTATCATCATTGCTATCATCTTCCTCATCGCCGGGTACTTGAATCTCGTCATCATCAATATCATCTTCGCCAATATCTGAGTTGGCATCATCAAATAGTCGATGCTCATCTTCAATTGGGAGGCTTGAAACATCCATCAATTCATAGTGATAATCGTCATTGACATCTGCAAGTAAAGCGTCTTCATCAACATCTAATCCATCTTCTTCATCTTCGCCAAGTCCGTCATCTTCAGGAATCGGTTCAAGAGAACTAACACCCTGTTTCCAATGCAAAGTTAGTTCATTTGTTTCTGCATTGAATATGAATTTTTCTAGCGGAAGTTGATCCAAATGAACACGCTTTTCAATTCCAAACACGGGTACTAAAACATCAAATGCATGGTCTTTGACACCAATGACAATTGCTTCCCGAATTACGGGACCAGATTGTACAGCCAAATTATGAAGAAGGACACAGAGGAAGAGATGGCTACTTTGCTCTTGTGCATTTTTTGCAGCTTCCTTCTTGACATTGCAATGATTAGCCGTCTTCTGAACAGCATCCTTATCAAGATAGAAGCGTTTTTCTAGAAATGAGGTTATTCATTAAGAATTTTCAGAAATAACAACAAAAGCTTAATATTATATAAAGAGATTTCATACCACCAGATAACGCAGCTTCAAGCATACGATGAACAAGAACATCAGCATAACGACGAATAGGAGAGGTAAAGTGTGTATAAAGTGGAACATTCAAAGCATAATGGTGATATTTTGCAATGTCTAAAGTTCCAGTACAGAAATATTTAGCTCTTTGCATTGGTTTTATTGCAAGAAGTTTCAAAACCTTAAACGTATAAATTATTCATTTATTTTTAAATTAGTAATAATTATTTACTAAATCCCAAAATAATATGTTTAATATATTATAAAGTATTCATACCTCTCTAACATTATTGTCTTCAACAGCATTGAAAGATCTTTGTAAAGCACCGGCAGATGAAACATCAATATCATACCCTAATCTTTTAACATGCTCAACAAAATCATTCTAGAACATGGCAAATTATTTATTAAAAAGTAATAACATAAAACTATAACACTAAAGAGTCAAATGATAATAAAATACATACAAGCCTACGTTCAATAGGAGGAGCATGCCTTCTAAGTAAAGCTTGCTCGGGAAAAGCACTAGATATTTTTTGTGCAACACTCATATTTGCGAGTAACATGAATTCTTCAATGAGCTGATTGGCATCTTTATGCTCATATACGTTGCATTCGATAGGATTATTGTGTTCATCCAGTTCAAAGTTTAATCTAATAGAACCCAAGGACAACGCGCCACGCTTAAGTCGTTGTTCTCGCAAACGTTGTGAGAGGCCCTGAGAATATTAAAAGAAATGTAACTCATCGTTCTTAATTAATTTGATCAATTAATGTAACTTACGTAGAAGACTTTGATATCAGCCTCAATCTCTTTAGCATCGTAATCATTAAAAATTTTGACTTCAGAGTTTAATGGTTTTCCTTCAATTACTTCCT